GCCTGTAGGCAGGGAGGGTGAAGAGAGAGAGAGAGAGAGAGAGAGAGAGAGAGAGAGGGAGGGAGGGAGGGAGGGAGAGGGGGGGCTGGAGGATGGGAGGGAGAGAGAGAGAGGGAGCCTTGAAGTTATAATAATCCCTCTCACCTTTATCTTTTCACATTTGCTCCAATTTATGAATCAGCATCTGGGAAAAGCTCTGCCAAGTTCTTACTTTATCCACAATTCAATAGATCTTACCTATTCACAACCACTTGGATTCAATACTCAAGAACCTAAAATGAACAACTGAGTGCCACATATCCTGAAATCTCAAAGTGGTGAAATAGTTGGGAGCTTTTTCTTTCCCTGCTCATTGCCCCAAGTACCTCCTCCAATTTTTCTTAAATATTTTAGAATTCTGTTTTTTTTCTTTTTAATTTAATTGTGATTTTTTAATTTGCTTTAATTGATTTATTTATTTTGTCTATGACTAAAGAAAAACAATTGATTGAGGCAAAGAAGATATATTTATATCACCTACTTATACACTCTAACAGGGAACCATTCTTTATCATATGGGATGATTTCATAAGGAGGCATTACAAATGTAAGCTTATTAGAGAAATTAGAATATTCTTAACAACAAAGGAGGAGGAAGAAAAGAGCAATATTCACACATCCCTGCGTGCCCCTGAGCATGCGCGCGTGACCCCCCTCGTACCCTGTTTTGGCTCTAACAGGTCTCCCTGCAGCTTCTTGGGGCCAAAACCTCAGTGGTGTGTTTGTGTGTGGCCCCGCACATGCATGGCAAAGACTTGAAAATCAGCTGGCCAACAGGAGGCGTGCGCGCATGCGCGGTGGAGCTGAGCTGGGGCGACGCCTCATGTGCCCATAGAGAGGGCTCCGTATGCTACCTGTGGCATGCATGCCATAGGTTCACCATCACAGGTATATACCATAGAACATTATTAGTCTTTTACATATGACAGGGTACTTAAATACTGGGAGAAGTACATTTATTTAAAAAAAAAATCCAAATAGTTCTTTAAATCAATATAAATATTTAGAATACAGATATACTATGGACATATTGCAGGAAAGACATAACATAAGCTAAAAGAAATGCTTCACCAAGTGAGTAAAGAGAGGAAGGAGATAAAATAAGGCAGGTTTACTTGTACCAAAATGTACTACTAATGTCTTAGGGATTTATCCAAATACAGGTAGTCCTCATGTTACAACCACAATTCAGCCCAAAATTTAAGTTGAAACATTTGTTACGTGAGTTTTGCCTCATTGTACAAATTTTAGCATAGTTGTTAAACAAATTATTGCATTTTTAAAGTTAGTAACATGGTTGTTAAGTGAATCTGGATTCCCCATTCACTATGCTTGTCAGAAAGATGCAAAAGCTGATTACCTGATCCCAGGACACTGTAACTGTCATAAATATGAACCAGTTGCCAAGCATTTGAATTCTGATCATGTGCCCATGGGATGTTGCAATCATCATATGTGTGAAAAACGGTCATAAGTCACTGAATAAATTATTGTAAGTCAAAGACTACCTGTATTAACATACTTAGCAATTTTCTAAGACTGGGCCAATGTTGTAGTTAACAGAATAACTTGCTGAGAAAGATAATGTACCTTTTAGTCAATCTCTAGAAATAGTAATTTCAAAATACTCTAATGATATCAAAATGCTGTGACATTAGGAGCTGCTGCTTAATTTGAAATGTGGATACTTCAAACTACATTTGTTATGTTTATACATATTTTTTCTTATTCTGGAAACATACACACACTTGCACATATACAAATGCTCACCCTATTTTTTTCCAGACTGATTCTATTAACCAGCAAATGTATAATATGACTTTTGCTTTTAAATATGATGCAATATATGTAAGTGTGTGCTACTGACTATTTAGGTCAAAATCTTTTAAATAATTGGAAAGAAAACATTTGGCAGTGACATCCTTTAGCACATATACATTTGGCAGTGTTTTATTAACTATTACATTGAACTTAATTAATCTTTGCAAAAGGAAGTATTATAAAGATAATGCTGCAAAATGTTGTGTAGAATATCTTTATATGCCTATCTTTTTACCTTGCTATTTGATTACTATTAATGCAATAATAACTGACTCAATACAATAGCCCAAGTAATGAACATATCAAGTCTCTACCTCAGTAAGAGACCTCTCCACCTGGATTTACTGATGTGTCCTGGACTCATGTGATTCATTCCTGAACAAAATCTTTCTTTGCTGTCTAATTTCTATAGCTCGTTATATTTAAACAAAAAAGAACATACTGATTTTAGAGAAGGACAAAACAGACATGAACATAGGTACTTACATTGTCTAGTATCTCTCTGCTATGAGATGCAGACAAACAAATTCTTGCTCTGGATTCAATGATTGGTGTAGCAGGAAAGCCCACTACAATGACACCTATGTTCCGTTTCAACATCTCTCGTCCAAATGCCCTGCAAAGGGACCAAGGCAGAACTAATGAAACCACAACACAAACAAGATTGGTGCTATTTAGCACAATGGGGGTGGTGAGGAATGCCTGAGAGGTTATTGTCAACTGCTTTGATTTAATATATGTACACAAAGAGACCTTTTGTTCAATCTTAAGGTGGCCTTCTTCAAAACAAAATCCATTATTAAGTTCTCAGAGTTGAAAGATTCTATGTGGCAGGGGCTGTCTTTCAGCAGGCTACTTGTAACTTAAACTTGAAAGTCTGTTATAACACAGCAAATTCAGCTTGAGTATTAATTTATTAAGAATTCTACTACATTCCTCTCTAGCTGATGACAGTATTATTCAGTACAAGCACCAATAGAGGAATTACTTAATACTCTGCAATTCTACAGTGCAGCAAAAAAGAAATCTAAGCCTGTTGACCTTGAACACAGTCTATTAAAAATAAGATTTGTCTCTAACATTAGTAGTAGTTTTTAATCTGGTGCCACAACGTGTTCTCTTTAAAGATGACTACATTTCAGGATATATACTAGGAACTATTTCCAAATGTTACCCAATTTTTGCTGGCATATAGAGCATCAGAGGTACAATAGGAGAATCTTCATTTCCATATATTATAAATCCCATTTTCTGAAGTTGTCTTCGGAAGTATCTGGTGTTGTCTGCCAACTGTTGTATGCGCATCTTGCCTGAAAAAAATAATGAATCCAACTTTATCACATTTTTGCAAAACCATGCTATTATATTAATGTGAATTTGAGTAATTTAACAAAAATTCCTGCCTTCTTCTTCTGACTAAGAGAGGCTGACTAGTCCATGTTCTGGCTCATGCTGGCTCTGTACCTAAGGCAGGACTAGAACTAGGTTTCCTGGCTTATAGTCTAAGACCTTAACAATTACACAAAATTGGCTCTTATTTGCATCATGGTATGGTATCATTTAATTTCATTCTAAATGGAAAATCTCTGACTGCTCCATTAATTCCTTCACCAAAAATATCCTCCTTCCAAAAGGGAGGATTATAACTTCCCTTTTGGAAGGCATATATTTAAATACTAGCTTAGAATTCAAAGACTAGCTACTCTAAGATTCATATCGGCATAATACAAAAAGATAGAAGCAAAACCATTCAACATCAATATTATGAAGAATATATCCCACTTTCATTTATACTCAGAAATTCAAATTTGAACCTTTAGATGGAGAACGTATTTTAATGTTTAGGGACTTCTAACCATAAAATACAAAGAAATAATATAATCTTAATATATTATTAATTTTTCTACATATGTAAAAAGAAACTGCAAAACATTTTTTGTAATTATGGAACGCATAAAGAACAAATAAGTTTGATTTATGATTGCACTATTATGCCCACATTTACTGTATTCTACTGCAAGCAGATCATAAGTGCTATCTGGATAAACCCATCACTCGTTGTCTGTGAGATTTATCTTGTATCTATTTATCCAAATTTCTTGAATTACTGAATAACGCATATGTAGATTATATAGGGAAATTTTCTCAGATGTGTAATTGTACTCTGAGCAACAGAAAGCAATACTCAGAGCTGATTCCCCAACAGATTTACCAAGTCAGATCTTTTTAGTTCCTGCTGAAAGTCTTCTCATTAATAGCTGCCAAGTTTACATCAGCAGGGAGAACTCTCAATGTAAGTTTATTTTACTGTTGCTTATATAACACTGGTCCAATTCAGTGAGACCTGGGGAGATTTCTTTCTCTCCCCAATATCCAATAACAAAGAAAAAGAATATCCTGTGTCTACTTATGAACTTTTTATAGCTTTTATATGTAACATTAAAAAACAGTCCACAAATAAATGAATGCTACAACAGAATAATAGGAACTTTTAAGAAACACTAAAAAGTCATGTTCTAAAGGCAGAGTACATTTCTTCTATTGCTTTCTTCCAGGATCCTTCCTTTTCTCTGCCCCATCTGAATCTAGTCTGTTTCTCCTCTTAGCTCACCCACCAACTAATCACCTCCCAACTGAAGCATCGACTGAATAGAGGACAGTTCAGGCTCCTCTGCTCTATGTTAGGGAGAAGTGTCAGCTGATGTTCCTAGATTCTCTATGCCAAGCTTCACATCTTTTTTCCAGCTTTTGCTTGCAATTAGTCCTTCTGCCAATAAAAAAAAAGGGGGGGGGACGGAGTTTCCAAGGTTTCTTTTATTCCTTTTTTCTCTGTTTTGCCAGAGCTTGTTTTTCAGCTAGCTCCCTCCCTCCCTCCTCTCCCAAACTGATTTTTTTCTTCCATTGTATTTGACTTCCCACTACCTGATTTTCAGAAGTTGGGACTCCATAATCCTGGAGCCAGTAGGTCTACCAACTTATCTGTCTCTTTTCAAAACCTGATCTTCTATTTACCCACTGTCTCCACCAATGCTGTTATGTGCATCCCACAACCATTTTACCTAATAGTTTTTCATTTTTCTTGCCTTGCATCAGTTTCTCAGTAAACCACTGGTTGCAGAGATTGTCATTCAAGCTTGTTGAATTGATGTGAGCTTCTGCAATAGGTCTTTCAGCTGTTTAGTTTTTGTGTTATATTTCCCCACTCAAAAACAGGGGTAAATGGTGGAGAATTGTTAAAATATATATTTTGCTTATGGAGTGCCTATGCAACTTATTCATCATGTGTGTAAATGCTAAGAGTTGCCTGACAATTATATAGGAGATTAATTAAGATTACATTCAAAGGAAAAGAAAACAAACACAAGAAATATTAGAATACTACAGTATTGATATAAGGTAAAATAACAGAATCTAAAATAGTCACATGGTCAGGATTTCTGACATTCCTTGCCTGCTTATTACAAGCAAAGTAAATGAGGAAACCACCAGAAAGTCAAAAGTCACAGTCAGGTGAGGTCCCTATTTACTAATATATGTGGTCTTCACTTAACAGTAACTAGAGGATTGTTGTTGTGTTTTATGACCATGTGGCTTAGTGACAGCAATTTTGATCCCAACTGCCATTGTAAGTCAAGAACTATCTATATGTCCAATATATTTAGAAAACTTTGGAGCAGATTCAACTTAGGAGAACGATCAGAATACTAGAAACTAAGCAGTAAGAAGAATTTGGAGCAGCTCTGATAAAAAAAGAATAAAAGGAGACAGATGACAATCTTGAAAGGTCAAACCTGATCTCCTTTAGTATAGAATCAGTGGTGGGTTTCAATTTTTTTTAGAACCTCTTCTGTAGGTGTGGCCTACTTTGTAGGAGTGGCTTGCCAGCCTTGTGACCAGGTGGGAGTGGCTTGTCAGCCATGTGAATGAGTGGGAATGGCTTGGCAATCACGTGACTGGGTGGGCGTGGCCTACTTGTAAAATGTGGTGAAACTCACCACTGATTCTATA